CTAGCGCCAAATCTAGGAAGGAGCAATCAGCTAAGTGAGCTTAGTGCTTGGAAAAAATCTTTCATTCCTTTAGAGACAGCATGAAAAGTCAGCTGAGTACAAAACATAGAGAGGAAAACAAGAAGAAGAGAGGGACACAACCTAGAACAGATAATGGATGTCTATTCTATTAACATTTCTGTATCTGTATAAGTTAATTATTCTTGATCTATGGTTTGTCTTAGATTAGGAATCCTTATCAATTTTACTACATGATTACAAATAAGCAATAAACAAAAAAACAAATAAAATTTTAAAGTTCTGTAATAAATCAGAACGGATTCTTGAAGGACGCGGTCGCATTTTCCTTCTTCGCTGCAACTCCCTGATCTGTCCCTCCTTTGCTGCGTCATCTTTTCTGAGCCCTCTCTTCATATTACCCGAATTTAAACACTGGATCTGGTCAGCTGGTCTCTCAATGGAATTGATCACATTTTCTCAACTGGAAGACAAGGAAAGGGAACCCTTCCTGTCCGGCCGGGGATACACCATGGACTCCTGGAAGGCTTGGAGGATGGTGTGTTTTACAATGTTGTCAGTGGAGGATGTTGAAGGATTTTTGGATTTATGATACTCGGATTTCTCCTGTTTTGATTTGAAAGGATACCTGATGTATCTACAATTAAAGAGGATATCAGCTGCAAATTGGCCATTGAACAGGCTGCCGGCAGCAGCTGACACGCTCACAAAGGCTGTGAACGAGCAAGATCGGGAGCCGTATGCTGGATGCTATTAAATGCAGGCTGGCTGCGGTGGGTGAACTCAAAGGTGAGATGGGATAGTTGATCAAATTAGGCAGAAAAGCTAATTAAAATTGGGAATATTGGATTTGCCATGAGGAGCCTGCAAGTAGATACTCTAAGGCTGATGGAAAAATTAGTTATTTTGGATTTGACCTCCCTCGTTATCAAGCCTCCTGTGGATGTTATGGCGGAGAGGCCCAATACTGCTGCAACAGCTTGCACTGAAACTAAATTCTCCATTACGCTGCAAATTGTACTTGACAATAAAGAAACTGATTGATTGGACACGCAGCGAGGCAGACAAGCTCAGAAACAGCTCAAAAGT